CTCTCTCTCTTTCTCTCTCTCTGTGCATCTCTTCTCTTGTACATTTCCAAACCAAAGTTCCTAAACTCCTCTCTCTCTCTCTCTCTCTCTCTCTCTCTCTCTCTCTCTCTGTGCAGCTCTCTCGCTGTCTCTCTGCATCTCTCTCTTTCTCTCTGTGCATCTCTCTCTCTCTCTCTCTCTCTCTCTCTCTCTCTCTCTCTCTCTCTCTCTTGTGAGTCCACAAGAAACGCAGCCTGTGACTTTGAGGGACTCGTCAGGGGCCAAGTCCCTCTAACAGTGTCGAGTTTCTTCAGCGCCCGAATCTGAACGTGTTGAGGGAGAGTTGCAGTTGAGGAAACTCAACGCGATTTTCCGCACCTGTCCGTAAACACGTCCAGATTCAGGTGCTGGGCAAACTCAACGCCGCTACCGGTAGTGGGACTTGGCCCCAGGATGGGTATCACTGACGGATAATGACTCACCACGTCGTTCGCTACTACTTCGGAAAGGACAACAATAATGGCAATGCATCTTTGCATATTCTAGCGGAAGATTCACTCTTGTTTTGCACATTTCGAGAGTAGTGCAGCGAGGCCCAAGTTGTGGGCCTTGGGCCTCACTCCACTTCTTTCCACATGCACAAAGGACAAATCATGGCTGTCTATCTTTGTCTTTCTTTTTCTTCTTTTTCTTTTTTAATTTAAACATCGGCAATAATCCGAGGCCGTGAAGTTGGCCCAGTTTCGCTTATAGTAACCGTGACAAACCAATTAGAACATCCAATGTGGAACGGCCAAATCCGGCCAACTCAAATCTTTTTTTTTTTTTTTTTTAATACCAACTCAATTTTTGAATAAGCCGGCATTCCTTTTTTTCTGAAGCATAAGCAATGTGTTTATAAAAGGGGCCCCGCGTCCCTCACGAAGTAGGTGGAGCTCTCAGTGGGCAAGGCATCATCGGCCAAGTTCATCGAGGGAACCACTAGATCCACTAGAACCACTAGATTTCACCCCACAGCCAACTCCACAGCCCCACCAACTAGAAAATCAACCGACAATTATCGTCAAAATCTAAGTTATCAAAATCAACCGACAATTATCGTCAAAATCTAAGTTATCACCAAGAGATGAAAACAATAAGGATTTTTCGCACTGACCTACCGTGATATCTAATTAACGAAACAGTTACAACAATTCCAACCTATACTTCGCCTGAATACCTAATTAATGAATACCTAATTAACAAAAACAATCGCATGAATTTCAAATCTATACGAACTTCCTTCTCAGTCGCAACAATTCGAACCTCGAACTTAGATTTGCAAGGCAGTTAAGCTAACACCATCCAGGATAGCAGGCTCGATGGGGGAGGAAGCATCAACTTCCATCAAAAGCCCTACATCTCGAATGCTGTCCCACTAACCAGCAGCTGTGGTGTGTGGCCACAGGAAAAGTTCTAATAACAAGCCAGCGAATCGAATCGATATTGGGATCGACCAGTCGATCAAATCGAAGAATAAGGTCGAAGAAAAAGGTACGAAAGAGTGACAGACAAGAACTCTAAAAGGGATTCGCACTGAACAACTTTTTTTTTTTTTTTTTTTTTGGGAAGTGAGAAATTTTATTACGAAACAGTTGGAACGAGGCGGGGGACCTCACAATTCTACCCGGGGCCAAGTCCCCTTACCCGAATACTTAATTTCCGACCATAGATTACAAAGATCAACGGCCAAGAATGAAAGATCAGCGTAAGTGGGACTTGGCCCCCGGTGTTATCCTGGCAGAGCCTCACCCAGTTTGCGTACGAGCATTGCTGGACCTCACAATGTACTACTGACCTTCAGACGACTGCTGGGAACCGGGCCCAGCGTCCCATCCGAAGCACTCAACAAAATGAACTTGAAGCACAGAAAAGGGGAAAGAGACCTAGCCCAATTTCTGAGTCAAAAGTTCTGCCAGATACCTGGCCAGCTACTCCCCGTTACACACTATCAGAGGGTCAGTATCTATAACCTTGCTCTAAATCGACCAATACCACCAAGTCCTATACATAAGCGACTATTAACCCCGAGTATACTCCAACACAACAGCCTAAGACGGCTTTTGAGTCAACCATGATGAAAGGATAAAGCCTCCTTTTTTAAACCTTGCTTAACCAAGCTATGGTTTTTGCCCCACGTTTTCCAAAACAGTGCGAAGAAGTTCAGCTTAAACAGAACATAAGGTCATCGTGCAGACGATGTATTTGGTATACGAAAGGATGTGGGGGGCACAGGCTTCGTGAATATATTTTTGTTTTTTCTTTCCTTCAAGAAAAAGGCCCGTTGCCTCTGGGTTTTCTGGCTTGGTAGGATGGATTAATGGTCTGATATTTGGGGCTGATGGTTCTGTTTCGATGCTAATGGAACTGTCGGTAGAACTGACTAAAGGAGTCTGACACCTATGGGTCTGTTTGGACCTAGGAAGGGGTCCGGTCTTGGGTTTGACGAGTCGCGACCAAGTTACCTAGAGGCGAGCTGACCCAGCGTAGGCTAGATGTAGTATATAGGTGTTTGACACGCTGGTCAGTTCATCAGTCCGTGACGAGTAGACCCCTGATGAGTCCGGCTCTGGCGGCCGGATGAAACATGTAGGGTCGTCCGCCAGTTTGCTCGAACTGGTGCATCATTGATATGGGCGCGCCTCCTACTCTCGGTTCGAGCCTGATGGGTCCCTGTTGCACGATTATCTGAATGAACCCATTCTGTCGCGTTCGGGATTTACTGCAGCGTGTCGGTGTTTTCTATGCTCTCGGCTCTGCTCTTTCCTTCGTCTGAAGTATGATGAGTTATACTATGCTTTGTTGCTTGTTTGGATGCATGGAGTTTACTTCGACCAACACTGCAATCCTAGCAGTTGTAAAGGACCTCGCCGCCACACCACTCTCGAAATGTGAAAAAGAATTAAAGTGGCAGGTGCATCTGGTCATTTTTTACGGGAAGTTCATTCGCATTTTGCGCATTTCGAGTGGTGTGGCGATGCCCGAAGTGCAAGTCCAATCGCCAATTGAAAAGAGGCCGGGGGTGTTTTCGTCCTTTTTTTTTTTTTTTTTTTTTTTTAATTTCAACTCCTCATTATTATTACCAATCGCCAATTGAAAAGAGGCCGGGGGTGGGCAAAGAAAGGGGTGCTTCAGCTTACAGACATATGGGATGAAACCCAGGCCAAGTTCCTGGATACTGTGCAGATCAAGAGGAAGCTTCCGAGAGTACGCAACGTTGCCAGCAACTATGTGGAACTACAGCAGGGTATACCAGACTCATGGGTAAAAACGCTGCAACCGGATACGGAGCATCCGGCAGGAACCTGGCTCAGGAGTACGGAACAGCCCAATAAAGTGCTGCGGGTTGTGGGTCCGGATTCGGTCTTGGGCCTTAGGGTCCAGAAATGGGAGGTTCCAGTCGTAGGAAAGAATACCGGCCATCTGTCCTTGATGGATGCTGATGCTATAATTAACAGCACGAGTGATTTGATAGAAGTTCGAGTTCATGTTCAAGGAGGAGGGGGTAAACAAACGGCGACGCTACTAGGAGAGGTAGCCCCAGGCAGGGCGGAACCTCTGCTGATGGGGTGGGAGGGCTCCGTGAAACAGGGCAAGTTTGTGCTGCTCTATCAATACAGCTAGCTCTAAGTTAGGAGTCCAATTGCAACGGAGGAAAACGAAGAAAAAGCCTCTGACTTTGGCCTTGGCCCGGGCCGAGGCTCAGCAAGTTACAGGGTACACAGAACAAGGCCTCGGAAAGCTGTGGCGGGCATTAAAGAGTTTCCCGGTACAGAAGCAAGCCAGCATAATGTGGCTGCAGTCCTTGATGGTCACTGCAACAGCACTTTGGCTATCAAACAGAGGAATGGATATATCCAGTCAATGTGTGCGTTGTAACTGGGGTTGGGAGAATGCAGCCCACCTCTGGTGCTGCTGCCCGTCTTCTGCCCGTTGGCTGATGAAATACTGATGTGGTGGAAGGATCACTGGGATAAAATAGTGGCGCACTCCTTTGAGTGGACGGATCAATGGATGCTTACTGGGGTTTTACCGGTTAGCTTGACATATTCGTCAGGATGGGGTTACGTAGCCTTGTGTTGCAGGGGTGTGCTAATGGAAGTCATCTGGATGGCGAGGAACGCAAAGGTTTTCAAAGGCGAAGCCATGCCCAAAACTCAGCAGCAGAAGTTAATTAAACAAGGACTGCGGAGGGTGGTGCAAGCGGATTGGTACAGGAAGAATGTTATCTGGTTCCAAAAGACATGGGCATCCAACAACAGACTAGCGTCAGTTAATGGTGAAGGTCGACTTTCGTTGTGTCCCTGGCTTTCGGATTCGCACGATTAAATTTGAGGGACACGAATGGGGTGCTAGCAGTCCGCATTAGGCCTGCTGCAGGGTCGAATGAGAAAGAATGTATTGCGGGCTTCACTCCTTGGAGGATAGATTGACTAGGGGAGAATACTTTCACAGTTAGTTTCATGTAGTACTCCACAGGCTAAAGGAGGATACTTCGAGCTAAATTTCTGGGGCTCACCTTTTTCATGGGCTTTATTGATTTACTTTTTCGAAAGAAGTAGGGAATGGGACACTGGACCCGGTTTCCAGCAGCCAGGAGAGTGTATATTAGGAGCAGCGAGTTTGGATGGACGAGCTTGGCTCGTAAGCTAAACTGGCTGAGGCTGCCAGGATAACTCCGGGTAGAATTGTGAGCTCCCCGGCCTCGTCCCATCGACAATTTGCAATGAAATATTTGAGTTTTCCAAAAAAAAAAAGAAAAAAAAAAAAGAAAGGGCCACGGCCTTTTTATATCAAAAAAAAAAAAAAAAAAAAAAAGAAAAGAA